TACACTACTGTACTCTACTGCACATTGATGGCCCTATTCTAGCCCCACTCCATTTGACTGCTCCTACGCAGGTTCTCTGGCACCCAATACCGGACCATATTTCCAGAGATTCGCATCCCAATCCTGCTGGACCAGGCCTGGGTATTCCCCCCACACCTCCCAAAACTTTGACAATCCCTCGCCTGCAGCTCTCCTACTGCGAAGGGTTTCCGCAGACATCGCTGTTCTCAGGTTCTTCAAGGCACATGCCTGCAAGGCTGGGAGGGTGACCTCCTTCCCTTGCCTACAGAGCTCGTTCCGGAGGGTCCATATCGTCCAAAGGGCAGCCGCACGCAGCACCTCCAAGGCATATAATTCCTTCTTATTTTTCCTTTCCACTTTGACCACGGCTCCCAATAGAATATCTCCGTCATCTTCTTCTGAAACCCGAAGGGGGGTGGAGGCCGCCACATCTGCATCCCACCACTTCTAGAACTGTTGGATGACCGGGCATCTGACAGACAGATGCGGAATCGTTTCCACCTGACCACACCCTGCGCCACAGCGGTCATCCAAATAGTTACTTTTGCTTGCCTGCCACTGCGCCGTTGGGATCGCCAGCTGGTAAATGAGCCAGAGCAGACCCGTTTGTTTTTGATTTGACAAAGATTGCAATAGAGCGCACTGCTCCCTCCAAACTCCTGGTCTCCATCGAGTAAGTACACCGCCGGCAACCACTGACGCTTGCTCCACCTGTTCACCAACTCATCACAGATGTCAGTTTGCAGGAGGAGAGACCTATATATGATCTTGGTGGTGACTTGGGGGAGCGAGCATTTTTTGTTGTTATAGTTCTGCCTGGGCCAACTCCAATCGTTCGGGTCCACAACTAGTTCCCTCCGTGTACAGCTGATCCGGTACGGCCGGGCAGTTCCCAATCCCATCCTTGTGCCCTCTTCACACACCACGACAGTCTCCACTTCTTCTCTATCCCATCGTCTTCTCCCTCCCACCCCCATGGACGTTCCCAGGCCATCATACCTTGTACCCACCTTCCATTCGCGGGTTTCCACTCCATCAGCCGTCCCCTGCAGTATCTGATACACATGGGTCGGGCGCCTCACCCCTCGCTGTCTTACCCAATCTCCCGCTCCCCACTCATTCTTCTTCAGCATGTCCACCCATTGCGTGGGTATAGCCTCCCTTAGTTCCCCCAGTCTCTGACACCGCTGAAATTTGTGGGGGAGCTGTTGCGCCATAGTGGCGTCCGTCTTCCAATCCTTTGCCTCGTCATCCCACAGATGACCAATTTTAAAGACCCCACACTCCGCCCATCGCCTCCCAAAGGCTCCCGGTCGGCCCTGCCAGGGAAAGGGATCCCCCTCATTGTTGCATATGCAGGGATTCTTGAACAGTAGCTGGTTATAAACAGCGTCTGCCGTTGTAGGCAGCCTTTGTTGGAGCCTTAGCTTCCTCCACCATGTAAGTGGGACTGTCCATACCTGGTCCCTCTTTACATGGTGAATGAGCGCAGGGCTAACCAGCGCCACCGGGACCATTTGCTCAGTCATTCCAAGTGTGAAGGCTAGGTGTTGCAACGAAATCCCCTCCCAAACCAGTCCCGCTGTTCCCAAAAGCAGCCATAGCAGGTTACGCATCTGCAAGGCGACTATTTGCAACCCCAGGTCCAATATGCCCAGCCGGCCATATCCTCTGGGCTGGATTAACTTTGACTAAGCAACTCGCAGAATCACCGAGTCGGCCTCAACATCCCCAGCCCAGAGGTATCTGTGCACAGCAGCCTGCAGCTGCTTGAGTGAACATTCCCGTGGCATATACATAGCCCCCGCATACCACATCGTAGACAGTACAGAGTTCTTGAGCACCAGGGCTTTGCCAAAAACACCGAGGTGAGCCCACTTCGCCCACCGACCCATTCTCAGTATTGCCGTCGCCACCAATCCTTCCATTTGAAGATCACCCCCCTCGTCCGGACAGATCATGATGCTCAAAAAACACAGATTTTCCCCCTCTACAAGGGTGGGAATATCCCATCCTTCAGGGATCGCACAACCCTGTGGGAGAATAGCCTTTGACTTCAGCCAATTGACTCTAGCCCCCGAATATTGCGATAATAGGTCCAAGTCTCGCTGCAGACAATGCAGCTGGTGAGCGGTTGGGGGGATAATGGCGCCAGTGTCATCAGCAAACGCTGTAGACTTCAATACCAAGTTCCGATCAATCTGCAAGCCTTGCAGCTCGCTATCCGCCCTCAGTAAATCGTGCAAAGCCTCAATGAAAATAACATATAGAGCTGGCGACAACGGGCATCCTTGGCGCACAGATCTTGTCAACTGCAAGAAGCCAGACCTCACCCCATTCACCTGCATGCATGTTCGCGCATTCGTCAAGAGCAGCCTGGTCCAATCACAGAATTTCGGTCCTATACCCCGCCGAAGCAAGCACTGAAGTAGAAACTCCCGGTGAACGCGGTCATACGCCTTCTCAAGATCAATCGTTACGAAAGCCATAGGTTGATCATGAATGTCTGCATTCCGCAGGATTTGCCGGGCAAGCATGATATTCGAAACTATCTGGCGACCCGGCACAAACCCTGCCTGTGATGGATTTATAATGCACGGTAAGACCGCGTTCAGCCGATTGGCAAGGACCTTGGCCAGCAGTTTGTATATGGCATTCAAAATCGAAATCAGGCGCCAATTTTTGACGTCCTCCCGAGCTCCTTTTTTGAAGATCAGCACCACATATGCGTCCGCAAAGCCCACTGGAACCTGCCCTAGTCGCAAGGTCTCATTGAAGGCGTTGGTGAGAAGGGGTACAAAAAACGACGGCGTTGCTTTATACATTTCGACTGGAATCCCGTCCACACCCACAGCCTTCAGTCGTGGCAGCTCAGCAATCACCCTATAGACTTCCTCCTGTGTGATATCCCTGTCCAGGGCCTCCGCTTGCTCCGGAGTCAATATACTCACAATATGGTCCCAAATATGCGCTCGGGGAGCTGTGGCCATTTCTTCAGCTGTCCAAACCTCTTCCTCCGTAAATAGGTAAGCGTAAAAGTTTGTGACGCATTGCAGAATCCCCTCCGTTGACTCATGTCTGGGAAGCCCCTGATCAAAAGGATGATCCATAGCTGCCATTAGATTTCTTCCCCGTTTTTTACCCAGTTCTCTAAAAAAGCGTCTAGACATTTTCTCACCTACCACTGCCCATCCCACCTTTGACCGTCTCCCCCATCGAGCAGTTTCAATAACCTCCCACTCCTACCATTCTCTTACAGCCTCTACTCTTTCTACCCACCATTCCTCTTCCGTTTGATTGTCCTTGGGGCCACCGTTAAGTGCTTCAAGCCGATCTACAAACTCCTGCCCTGTGGCCAGATGAGCTTTATAACTGTTCAACAGTCGAACATGCAGACACCTACGGAGGAGAGCATTGCGTTGGATCACCCATTGCAAATCAGTCAGGCCTGGAGGGCGCGCCTGCATCCAAGCCTCCCAGTGCTGTCGAATCAGCGGTTTGTACTCAGGGCTCTGAAAGACCCACGCAGGTATGGTTGGCTGAGGGCGACCCACCACAATGTCGCCCACTGAAAAAATCGCCATCACTTTAACATGATTCGATAGCGCAGTCGGGATAAAAGACACTTCTCCCCCATTCCGGTAGATCGCATAAGAAGCCCAAACCATGTCCAATCGACTGCGTCTGTTTGCCGACCCATACCACGTATACGCCCGTCAGGGTGTGCCGACCTATAGGTATCAACACAACCCAACTCAGCCATCATCAACTGCAATGCTTCCGCGCCCGCTGTCGTCGGGTGGTGAACCACCGAGTCCACCCCCGATTGGATAGTCATGTTAAAATCCCCAGCAACCACATAGCCCGCAACCTCGGGGAGTTTCGACTGCAGGTTCTCCCAAACTCTTTGCGTTCCCGGGGGTCCGACGGCCCATACATCGTCACCACGCACCATCGTGTTTGACCCCATTGCAGGGTCACACAGGCTCATCTCCCCTGCCCATCCCAATGCCAATCTACCACTTCTCCTCGACATTTGGGGGAGACCAGAATCACCACTCCCCCCCTCGTACCTCTATCTGGTCGACCCTGGGCAGGGGCCCACACCTCGTGTCCTTTCCACCAAGGGGCATCTTGCAAGCACAACCCTTCCCCTAGCTTGGTTTCCTGGAGGCAGACCACATCGACTTGATGCTTACGGATTGTACGCTGCAACTCCCATCGCTTCGGGTTAAGCGACCGTGTTGAGAGGCCCTTGACATTCCACGATAACACCTTCAACTTTGACCGGTGAGTCCGTCGATCCATCCTAACTTACAGCCGTGTCCGCTAGGACCACAGAGCTGCACTAAACACCCAATCTATCAACAACTCGAAAAAAGAAACATCCGAAAAAGACAAACAAAACCAAGAAAAATTTCTCCCAACATCAAAAGAAAACAAAGAAAAAATCCCCACACTATCGCGAGGGAGCGCCTCTGATCCCCGAGGCGCCCCATAAGTAACACAAATCCCTCCTATCTACTCTCTAACCCATCTCACCCACCCGCCACCACCCCAGAGCCTTATGGAAGTTTGTCGAACCCACTCACTGTTCCTTCGGCAGCATAGTGTTGACTTTGGCCAATACCGTCGCCGTGAGTCCTGCACTATTCGGAAATCCGCCGGTCTTGCTCGCGGGCCAAACAGTTGACCAAAATCAGTCCATGTTGCCTCTTTGTGCACCAAATTCCGGGAACCCGCTCTCTTGGGGGCAACAAAGACGAAGAACAACAGCAGCCCATATTCCCTCCCCTGCGGCAGGGTTCTGAAGAATCTTCCCACCGAGACCTTCGGCAATATTCTGACTCGATAGTTCGACCCCACCCACCGACTCACCTGCCTAGAGATATTAGCATTCCTGGGCAGAGACCTTGCCACATAAGTCAGCAACTCCGCATCCCCTCTCGTGACAACTTTCACCCCCCCTTCCGCCCACCACAACATAAGCGGGCATACATGACAATTCCCTGCTGCCAGTATTTCGCTGAGCGATCCTTGTACTGCAATACTAATCTCTCGTTCTTCCTCCATTCTGTCTTCGCCCCCTTCTGTCGAATCCCCCCCTTCTTCTAGCATCGGATAGCCCTCCCTACTTCTGGGGCCCTCCCTTTCTTGAGATTCCTGCATCATTTCATCTGAGTCTAAGTCAACCTCAATAGGCTGAGCATCCTCCTTCCCAGTCATCCTCTTCGCCCTCACTTCCTCCTCCACCAGCTTTTCAAATTGCTTACGTTCTGGGGAGATCCACTTTCTCGGCACTCCTGTATTCTGGTCCCTCACCTCCCTCTTCTCCCTTCGTTGTTTAGGGGATCCAGATCGCTCCTGCTCCCCCTCCTTCAACTTAGCGTGTAGCACCTCCACACCCTCTACCCCTCGGTCGTATTGCACCTCTTCTTGCCCACCACGCAGGTCACTGGTTTCCATGGAGTACGAGGACTTAACCGGATCCGGAGTTAGCTGCTTCTTTCTACGTCGACCCTCTCTGGCCTGGCCGCTACCCCTCCCTTTGGGTGGGGCGAGGGAAGAGGACCCTTTCTACGTCGACCCGCGTTCAGACTTGAGGCCAATTCCACTGACGCCCCTGAAAATCCCCCATCGACCTCAACTTCTGCTCCCCTCCCCTTCCCCCCCCTCGCCGCTTACTCCCATCTGCTCTTCCTCCGAAGAGGCCACGAACCAACCATTCCCTGCTCACCCCCTCCCTCTCCAAGCGCCTCCTTCCCACCCTCCTGGGCTTGGCTCTCCCACTCGTCGTTCCTTCCCCCTCATACCCCTGCCCTACATTCTGCCCCGCGGCACTAATATTTCGCCCCTTGTTCCCTTCCCTCTCTACGTCACTTCTCGCCTTACCTTCCCCCTCCTGCAGGTCGCCACGATCCCCCCCGCTCCCCATTCCTCCTACATCACCAATCTTAGCCTTCCCCTTCACTTCAATTTGCATGCTCGGCTCAACCTCCTTTTCCCCCACCTTACCAACCTTAACTTTCCCCTCACCCTTAGTTTGCGTACTCGTCCCAACGTCCTTCTCCTTTTCTCCACACTCCTCCTTCTCTGCCATCCCACTAATATCATGCTCCCTAACCCGATCTTCAATATCCTCTCGTGACTTTGCCGACCCCCGTCCCGCCTCCCCCAACCCCTGTTTCTCCTCACCTACTTCACTCTCCCCCTCCTTCTCCCGCAGCTTGTCAACCCTCCCTCCCTCCTGGCGAACATTCGATTCCTGCCCCACCTCTCCTTCCCCAGCGCTCTGGTCTCCCACACTCGTCCCTTCCTTTTCCCCTTCCACCTCCAATCCCCCTCCATCACTACCCCCCCCCCCCCCCTTCCCCCCCCGCCCCMCMGGATATCCCCGGGTTCCCCTTCCCATCCTCCGACTGAGTTGGCTCCCCMCTTACCTGTTGTCCTTTTAGCCCTTCTCGCCGCGTTGATGTCTCACCAATCACCTCCTTATCCATCGTTGGTTGATCATGGCTCGACTGCGGGTCCATTCCGCACTGCCCCTTCTCTCCTACACCACCCTCAGACGTCGCCTACCCATCCTCCCGTTGCACATCCTTTCATTTCTTGCAGTCTTCCCCAAATAACCATTGCGGGGGATCCATTTGTGATCAATCGATCCTCCAGGGGCCGACCGCTTACGACGCCCATTTCTCGCCTAACGAGCGACACCTTCCTGCTTTCCATACCTTTGACCTCGTGTATCCCAAACCCCTCCCGCATGCTCTCCTTCCCCACCCATTCGCTGCCGCGCTGCCTGCAGTTCTTGTAGAAATTCCGCATCAAATCGTTGCTCAATATTCCGCCATGCACCTCGCTCCTCGTCCAAGTTGGAAGCGAGTATTGGATCCGCACGTCTACGCATGTCTTTTTCCTGGAGTTCCCGAATCGTTTCGACACGGGACAGGCATCGACCTTCCCGCCCCAAGTGACCGTGCGTATACCACACTTCGCAGAAGGGGGTTTCACTCGTAGTGAACCGCAACTCTTGAGTCGTTGTCGGCCCGAGGGCAAGCGCAACCTTCTCCGCATGCTGCATCTTAAGCGGCCCCTTCACTACATATTTTCAATACTCTTTCTCTTCCTCACAAAACGCCGCCCTAGACATAATATCCCCAAACAGTTGTTGCACCAGCAGTTTCTCAAGGGGAGCCACGTACAAAGGGGGGCTAAAAACTTTCACCCATGGCCAATTGCGCCTTTCTCCTCTCTTTGGAACTCGAGTTCCACAGGTGCACGCGAAGGGGACAACAGCACCTCATACTGCCTGTCCCCCACCACAATAGATTCGGCCTGTCTTTCCTCTATCAACCAATCCCGGACTTCCGTAGAGGGGGCAATATAAATCACTGTCCTTGCTCCCTCGACATCTATCACCCCCTTCCATGGGCCCCTGCCCATAAGCCACAGTTCCTCTCGTGCCACCGCCCATGCCTTCTTCATACTCTTGGACCAAGTCGTCGCGACTTCGGGGAGTTTTAACACCACTGGATGGGTCCGCGCATATGTCATCAACAAGTAGCTCATCTCTGGTATGAGCCGCGCCATAGCCGTTCCCCCTTCTACCGTGAACGACAATACATCCGGCGTTCTAAGCTGCAGCCCCAAGAGGAATGTCCTCCGAAGCATCTTCATAAGCTCGAAGCGGTGATCCTCCACAGTATTTATGCTTAACTAGCGTAAGCTATCACCTACTCTCTCCCACTCCCTTTCGTAGTTCGTTCCCGCATGCCCTCAATCGGGTGAAGCAAACACGGGACTCCCCGAAACCGGGGTCAACTTTAGCAAGATGGTAAACAAGAAAGTCCTCACCCTCTATCGTCTTCTGTTCCAGAGGGTCGATCTCATGGTGCAACTAAAAGCCAAGCCCACCTCCCTGCACGACCGCCACCTCAAATAGACACTCCCTCCCGAAGACTCCTATGTACTTATCCCACCCACACACTCTCCCCCACGCAACAAGTAACAATCCCACCAGTTCGCACAACACCACCTCTTCGCACAGCGCCCAGGCTCCGACAAAGGTCAAGTGGTCAACACAGGGAAGGGGATAATGTGGCTATGGTCGGACGACCAGGGCGGACACCGACGCAAAGGCAAGCCAAACCCTCGCCATGGCCACACGAGCAAACCCTAGCCAGGCTCAACGCCGCCCGCCCTCGGGCGAAAATTTCGCGACCGAAAAAAACGCGCGGCAAAACGCTGCGCGGCAAACCCCCGCACTTTTCGCCTCCTAGCGCCGACACCGGTCACCCGCCACACCCAGCCCGGGTCCTCCCTGCTGACCGGTGACTCCGACGAGGCCCAGATTCCGCAACGCAAAATTAGCGCAGCTCATAGCACAAAAATTGCCATTAGCAGTTTTCGCCATTCGCAGTTTCACAGTGCAAAGTGTTCACACTTAAACGTGCATGGCTTAGTCTTCGAGATAAGCATATGACTACTGGCAGGATCAAGCAGGTAGCGGGTGTGACAAGCAGCCGCAAGGAGCGATGGCCGAGGCGCACGTAGGCACGTCACGCCGGACAGCCTACCAAAAGAACGTCGAACAATCGTGGAATGCGCAACGAGCTGTCGAGACGCCGCGAAGTCCATCTGTTTGAATTGCAGGTGAACTTCCCTCTGTAGGCCATCTCCAACGGCAAGGTACCGCACAATCCAACACAGCCCGCCACACCCGCCCAAAAGATTGGCTGCGAACAACACCCGCCCACACCACACCCAGAGATCGCAAGTTAACCACACTGCCCGAACAACGGCGCGCGCGAAGGAACCAYCGACAGCTTCGGCCCACAGCCGAATGCCACCGCCCGCCCAAAATGTACCGACAGCGAAGTGCACAGCCTCATCTTTCTATCGAGAAACGCGGGTGAAAAAAGAAACGAATGCACCACGTTTCCAACACGCCCGGACGGACGGAAAGCCTCCACCTGTGCACGGGGCATCCGCTGGTTGCCGCGGGCACCACCAACAGCACTCGACGCAGGCGAAACCCAGGAGACAGAGGACAGTAGCCTTCGAAGCCCACAACCTAAACGCAACGGAAACACGACGCAACGCGATCCGTCACGGTGTGCAGCATACCGAGACCACAGGATGGGGGGCACGACGGGCACAAGCGTGCATTCCAACAAGTTGGGCGGATGAGGGGCCCAACCTCGCCACGCCGCTGGAGGGTGCATCACGCATCCCACAAGTCTCCGCCCTCGCAAACGGTAAGTAGCGGGTGCATGGCTGAGGCCACCTGCGCCACCGCTTAACGGCGCCGCTCGGATGGCGAAGAGCGCAGAGCGTCCTCACCAAGTCGTGACACCCCCTCAACACAAACGAAACGCGTCGTTGTGAGTGCGGACACGAAGACGACACCACAACAGAGACGCAACAGCTCTCCCCGTAACCTACGGGATGATGGTGCCGAATCTGAGAGCCGGTGACGGGCACCTCCGCCTCCACACCCTGCAAACGATCGCCAACCGAACCGTCGTCGGCGATCAGGCGCCTATCATCGCAAGACGATGAGCGAGGGTGAACGCAACGATCCACAACCCGGCACCACGGCATAGGAAAGCCCCGACAGCCGCGACCGCCGCCAACGACGACCGAGCTGTCGTGAAATAAGCCCTCCGAGAGAGACGTCCATGGACCCAAACGACACCGCAAAATTGTTCGCTCGACCACCAAAGCACGACTCGCCCGTCCCTCGCAAATTGGAAACCACCCAAGGTGTGTGCAGAGAGTCCCTCGTAACTCGAGTACAAAGTCCCAAAACCCACGCCGGAACGTCACCTTCGTCGACTGCAAGGGGGCTGCTAAGCACGCAGKCCCCTATAAGAGTGCAAACGGGACTCCGAACCGCCAACCACCGACTGTTTGGCACATCCAGAGGGTGCTCACTGAGCCATCTGCCGAGGGACCTGCACATGTTCCTTTCCAGCAAGCTGATTAAACAGACCCCAATGGTGATGTCCTTCTCGGGACCTCATCCCTTTCCGCTCTCAATAAGACGCCTCTAGACCTTCGACCCTGGGAGACCCCCTTTTCTCGGGGTCGTTCCTACGCCCGAGTGGCAGTGCGCGGTATCTGCTGCCCCCACAAAATTCGACACCTCAAAAGTCTGTCCCATCTCCGTCCCTTCCACACACAAAGGGATAAGGGGAAGGGCCGGGGAAAGAAAATAAATACATATAAAAAAAAAAAAGACGAAACAAATAGAGAAAAGGCCAAGCAGCTTCTGTGGCTAGCGACTCAGATCACGCCGCGGTGTGGGAGTGAAAAGTTAACGGGAAGTCTGGCAGAATCTTGTGTCCGTTGTGGGGTTATGTGTTGGCGAACATGACCGGACACGCACTTTAGAACGCAAAGGGGGGAAAGAAAAGTCAAGGATGACTTGACAAAATCGTCATTTCAATTTGTGTCGGCCCCGAAAAATACTGGATCCGGCAGAAGAGGCGATGCCGAAAACCCGACGGCCATAAGTATTTTCGTGCATGTCCCGGAGAACACCATGGAGGCAATCGGGTACTGCCTCCAGAAAGGGCAGGAAGTGGCCTCTTTGTTCCCGAAGCTGGGGGGCGCGCAGCCCCACCAAGATCATGACTACGCAGTCGCGTGGGGAGGGCCACGTAGAGCAAGAAGTGGGTATTTTGTTCCCAAGCCATAATATTACGCACACACACGGGGAGGGCCACATAGAGTGAGAAATGGCTTTCCAGGTTCGAAACACCAGGGGCATGCTTCGCGCACCCCCCACCACGATTATGCTTGTACACAGGGGGGGGCAGACACCCTCCGTCTCTGCCCCTCTGCTAAAAATCTTCCGTTAAATTGAGTGAATACTTGCTTGAGCAAACTTTTATCTATAGAATGAAAAGATTCAAAATTTTGTTTTCATCATGAAAGAAAGGTGAATCCAATAGGGAAAAAAAAAAAAAAA